AATAGTTACTTCCTATTTTATTGACATATTAATAAATAAATACAAGGGAGGAGGATGGATGTGATATTTGTCATTAGTGATTAAACTGATTCATTTAGTTATAAATTTCACTGGTAAATTTAGGTAAGCAGCAATAGCAGCAAGAAATACAGTATTGGAAACTCTTCTTTCTAGTCCGTATATAGCCACAAAAATGCTGAAGTCTCAAGAATTGACAGGAGACGAGAATGGAAGAATGTGATATTTGTTCTTTCTGAAATGGAGGGTTTATTGCAGAAGGAATCATTTCTTCAATGAAGAAAAGAGAACTAGTTTGCTAGACAATGAGATCTTGCTGGGTTCAATATATGTAAATCCAAAACACCGATTTTTCTTGGATGACGAACAAATTAAAAAGGCAAAGAAAGCCATCTATGAACTTTCATTAAGAATGAAATTATTCTCAGTACAATTGGAGAATTCGAATCAGGACAGTCAAACTGCAGACATTTCAATTGAGTCTCTATCATCCTCTTCCAAAGATGAATTAGATTTTGAGAAATAGTTTTGGATAATTGAGAAGGCTAAGGCAAAGAAAGCGAATGAGAATAAAGAACCAAGAGCCCTTAGATATAAAAATGAAAAATTGCATGCGCTTGTAAGACACCTCTTTTAGAACTTATTAAATGCTATCCTGAAAAGTTAAAAGAAGTAGCCTAACAGTAACAGCTCTTCCTCCTACTCAAGTTAGTGGGGAAAGTTCTCAGCTCTGAAGTTTATCAAATTGGATCTATGGCCCTCCAACAAAGAAGGTCTTGCTGAAGCTATACTGTTTCTTAGAATTAACTAATGCTAGTTTTTCCATTTCATAATAAGTTCTAATTAATATAAATAATTTGCTATGCCATCAATTTTTTTCCTGCACCATCTATTACTACTTTTATATTTAAAAAATAAACTCTAACCCATGTGTATATGTTTATATATATGTGTATGAGGGAGTCAGAGTCTTTAAAATTCCAGGAGTCGGAGTCAGTCATTTTCCCTACCGACTCCACAGCCCTGGTTGCCACCCTACCTGGAAAACCGGAAAAATTAGAGAATTCGAAAACTGACCAAAAGTCAGGGAATTTCTTATGGCGATACCTCAAAAGAGCGAGTTTTGTAACGACGTTGAAAACAATCACTTTATTGGTGAATTAATTGTTGCGTGAACTTCATTCAGCTACTTGGCATAGAGCCAATTTTCACACATTGTCTTTTAGAAAGGCAAACTAAGTTTCCAGTAACCTCGAGAATCGATTGACGCACATGTGCAGTGCATGTTGAAATAAAGAAAATACGTATTCCCATATAAAACAAAATCGGTTTAATCCTGGGATGTGGTACCATGGACATTAGAATATCCTCCAGTATTCTATTCTAACCTCCATGTACAATATACACAGGATTTGGCGACATTATGATAAGCAGTAAACAGGTCATTTTGGTGTTGGCAACAATTTTCAAAATCGTGCCAAGGCTGTAGCATATGCTAAGATTTTTCCGCAAAATCTTTTTAAAATTTTTTTTTTTTTTTTTTTTTTTTTTTTTTAATGTCTTATTTGTCATTTTGCAGTAAAATAGAAAAAATATTAAACAATCACCTAGGCTAATCATTTAATATAACTATATTCACCAAAATATTGTTGATTATTCTAATTCGGTTAAGTAATTATTATTTTAACATTATTCGGGGACATTTAATATTGCTTCTTCCCTCTAAATTTATTTATTATTAGTAAATAATGCTTTCAAATTTCAGGAAATTTTCTCTTCTATAATCCTGAAACTAATTCTAGCAGTATGCTGGCATACCATCACGAAATTTAATGCGCTTATTTTTTTGCTTATGTATGCTGCTAAGTAAATATAAAATACCTGAATTTATTTTAAAATATCATTAAATAAATTTCTTTCGTTTGTCTGCAAAAAATGACATTTTTTAATCCAGATTGGGCCGCTTCTAATCTCAATCTTCAGTGGAGAAAACAACTCCTATTATATTTATAATGACTCATTCACAGAGCAGATTGGACCGGTAGCAAAAACTGGTTTTTTCAACGTGTCCCATTCACACGCCGACAAGCATTAACTGTTTCTCTGAATTGGAGGTAAAGCATTCCTACCTCTCTGGGAGCAGGGCAAATGAGATTTCCCATACTGCACTGCGTGATTGCAGGGTTCACTGACTGCTCGCTGGACTGTCAGTGAAACAATCGCGTTGGTAGATATCATCCCAAACCGTACGAAATATGGAAATGTGTAAACAAGTACGGACAATGCTATCTGATGCTGGGTATCTCAGAAATACCGTTCAAATAAAACTAAAGACGGCTTCAACTCGACTAGAGGACTTGATACCTTTTGAATGATTTTCTTTGTTTAAGAACTTTCATCTAGTTTTATGAATGTTATTAAATGGTTTTGTAAGACAAAATAATTTTAAGCTGAGGAAAAAAAAAATTAATTAAAATTTTTAGAAGAAAAGTTTAACAATTAAATTGTCATTCTTCTCTCACAATTTCAATGCTTTTCCCCAATTTTCTTTTTCTATAAAAAAGTTCTTAATAACTTTAAGGATAGATTTTTCAATAATGAATTAGTTCTGAGAAAAAATAAAAACAATTTTTATGCAAAAAAACTTTGAAACAAATATTATCTCAGTTACATTTCAACTTCAATAATTTTTTTTCAGTATTTGCAAAACCCATTCTATTTCTATAAAAGTATGTAATTTTAATTAAGCGGTAAAAATATTAAATAATTTAGGCCATATCTATATAAGTTTTACAACTTTAAATAAAAGAATTTATCAAAAAAATGCAAACTGAAAAAATGCATTTTGAAGAATATAAGCTGTCTATATGGTCATTAAATCATTTCAAATTTCTTAAAAATTTTATTACTGAATTCCATTACATAGATATAAAATAAAACCCATTGCTATTCAATTGATTAATATAAACGTAAATTACAAGCTTTATTTAAATCTTCATAAAGCACGTTCAAAACAATTTTAACAGATGAATTAATTATAATATATTCTCTAAAACTTTTATATCAATATTAAAAATTTATAATTAATATAATACTATTAATTTGTTGTTTTATTCTTTTTTTCAAAAAGCAAAGTTTGAAATTTTAGCAGCCACAAAACATTTTATTTAAAACCGCTTTGCAGCATATGTTGTTTCTTTTCTTCTTTTAATCATTTGGTCTCGTATATAAATTGCATTTTAAATTAATTTACGTATATTTTAACTAATTAAAGAGTTAAACTCCGATGGCGTTCTATAGCAATAGTAAACAATATCAAAAAAGATGTAAGTAAATGTTAGAAATCTGCCAAATCTGATTTGCGTTTGTGACATCATTCGTTGCTCACAGTGGCTTATGGGTTAAGGAACTAAAGACGATGTGCATCTGAACCGGTCCTGAAGATGAAGCTGCTTCATATCCCCGTTTCTCCCTAATATAAACAGTGGCTGTGCGAAAGAGCGTTGCATGTGAACGGGGCTTAATAGTACTGCTTTAGGGATTATATATTATATAATAGTACTCCTTTGGGGATTATATATTATATAATAGTACTCCTTTGGGGATTATACATTATTTGCCAGTTACATATGACTTGTATATATAAGTCATACGTAACTGGCAAATTTTTGTGTTTTCAAGTGGTACCATAATTAATTTACCTCTTAGCACAGCCAATATGCATTACGTCGATAGACTGGAATTTTCTTAAAACACGTATGAAACGTCGGGAAATTTAATTCTCCTGTTTGAGTGGCAACCCTGGCCGGATGCTTTGCTGCTATGATCACTTCTATAGTATCAAAATTGTAAATGTTTTCTAAATAGGCACGATTGGAGTGCCAAGTAAATTGTAGCCACCAATGTGAATTCAAATAAATATCGAATTTAATCCAGCTCAACTGCTTCTTCTTCAAAATGGGTATTTGCTTCTAAGCATCAATTATCTAAGCCGTCAGTATTTCTGCTCATCTATGTCTTAGTGTACTTACATCAGAGCTTCCAAAAATGGGCTATCATTATATATATTTATATATATGTGTGTGTGTGTGTAACGTCAGTCCCCCCCGTCTTGAGTTAAAAAATTTTACCTGTTATATTGGTAATACATAACAGGTTATACATGTGTATGTGTGCAAGATAAAATTTCTAACTTAAATTTGTATTAATTTTATTGTATTTTTATGTACGTGATCATATCTGCCATTGTTTTTAAGGACATGGGTAAACATTTTGAAAAGCCAAAGATCATTAAGGCAATAAATTGTTGGGAAATAAGTTCTGCCAAAATGCAGTGGACATGTTTTAATTGACAAAAATGTCTCTAATGGCCATCTCAGGAACTCTGTATGCGAAGTTTTTGGAGTAAATATTAAAATATTAATTAAATATTATAGTTTTGCAGGTGTAAACTTGGAAAGTTTTTATTTCAAAGGTGACAGGGCTAATGAGGCATCTGAAACTCCTTTGTTTCCATGAAATAAAATAAAGTATTTTTAATTGTTCCCTTGGAATGTCTGCTTTTTGTCCATTGCTGCTGTTAAATAATCACATTTTCCTAAACTAAAATATTAATCTTTCATATAATTTATGTAATCGTACCTCATTTTAAATTTGATTTTTTAAGCTTCCACGTGTTTCTTTTATTCAAAAATTTTCTATTTCCAAGTTTTTATATAATCAGAAAATTGATATGGAAAATATTTTAATGAATCAGCTTTTTCTTATTTTTTAATGAACAAATGCCTCTTGAATGCCTAGTAAAATTGCAAAAATATATTATTGCTCATACGTACATACTTTTTAGTTTGAAGTTTAAAATTAGAATAGTTATAGAATTAAGAAAATGAATTTATGTGAATCATGAGAAAATTATATATATTATGAAAGTGATAAAAATTATAATGTTACATGTCTAAAAAATATGCTGTGATGTTTTTTAGGGTGTCAGATGGATATTGAAAACTTTTCATTATTATGCCCCAAACATCAGGTAAATTTGTAGCATTTTCTTTTTACATTATACTACTCTTTTTTTTAAGTTTTTCTGCTTATTTTATATGAAAATATCTGTAGTGTTCTTTTCACAATTTAGTAATAGTCCATTTTTCCTTCCTTGTACAAAGTAATGGAAGTATTGTAATCACAAAACATTCTGGATATCATATTTCTATGAAAATATCCATTTTGACCACTATCGAATGCAATTTAATGATGTTTTTGCTTGACATCTTTACATAAGGACAGAGTTAAGGCCCATCTACACGAAGTGATTTTCTCGGCCGACTTTCTCGTAGAGCAACAATTTTAAGGATCTACGCATGCGCCAAAAATCGGTCATATTCTCTGCTGCGATTTCAGAACTGGTATTCACTGCTTACTAGCGTATGATAAAATCTGAATCTCTAGCCAATAAGATTGCTTTGAGTGAGGACATGCTTTTCTCCTCATTTGGAATAATAAATATGGCCTGCCTTTCATTGGAGCGAAACTCAAATTTTTCAACTAATAGATTTCTATAGAGAAAATGTTGTGTTGTGGGACACGAGTAATGTAAATTTTAAAAATAAAAAATTAAGGGATTCTCTTATTTTGGTAAGCTTATTTTGTCTTCCCCGTTACTTTAAATATTCAAATATTTTCTAATACGGGGTGAAAATTATTTTTTACTCCCCCAAGAATAGTTCCAAAAATTATTAATGATAGCCTGTCATGGTACTAGATGAAAATATTCAGAAACTACTTGAAACTATGGTCGCACTTATTGAAAAAATTCAGAAAGCAAAATCTGCAGTCGAAAAATTATGGACCGATTTAAAACAGCGCAGAGATTCACCGACTTCTCTGAAAATGGGAGTTAATCAGATGATGAAGTACATAGCTTTTCCGACACCTCCTATACGAGCGATTATAGCCCAGTGGTAAAGAGCAGAGCAAGTTTTCTACGTACATGAAGTTCGTGGGTTCGATCCCTTACATTAATGTTGGGATTTCTGCACCTGCAAGGACTTTTTTAATTTCATTTCTCCATCACTAAATTTGAATTGCATGACTTAAAAGTCACTTTTTATTTTTTTGCCTACGAGTGTGTCATTTATTGAATTTTAACGCCTTTCTTTTTATTTTTCGAATGGCCGTTGGCACGTGTTTTAGATCTACTGGTTTTCACCAGTAGATCTGCTTAATTACCTGCTGACTGAATTGCTTGTTTTTGCGTATAAACTCTAAAAGTTGTTCTTTATATTGTTTTAACTGTATTTATGTTTTATATTTTTCAATTTTTAATAGAAATATTTTGAGGTTTTATGTATTTTTGCTTTGCTGCAAAGTAAGAACTGAATTAATTGAATGAGAAATATATCTCTAATGAAATTCGAGGAAATAAGTTTAAATGAAATGCAGAAAAAAATGCATATAATTTAATATTGCATACAAGGAAGTCTTAGTGTACACATCAGATTTTTTCTTTATGATTATAATGCAGGTATGTGTTTAATGAAAACTTCTTAGTTTGTGTATATATATAAATAATGAAACTGCGTAATTTTAGACTTAAAAAGCATAAAACTTGTGCTAAAGCTGGTAAGTAATGCTTAATAAAATGTTTTCATATTTCATGCATGAATGCATTTTATTTAGTTTTGAGATTATCTCCTAGGAAAATTATACAAATTAATAAAAATAGTGAATATTAATGGAACAGTTAAGTAAAAGACAGGTGGTGCTGTAGTGATTTCAGAGAACAGGCATTTCATACAGGAATTTGTGATGATTGCTCAGTGTCATCATCAAACTGTATTCTTACAAAGTCAACAGAAACCAAAATCAACCAGGTTCGAGAAATGCTATGAATTTGCTAATTGGGCTTCTCATCAAATGGAAAACTATGCAGACTTGCTGTGAAATGTCCTATGGATTGAGGATGCACATATTTCACTTAATGAAAGTGTTAATGCACACTTTTCAGTGCATTTTGTGATCAGCATTTGACAATGACTGAATTGTCAATTGCTGATTCCCACTAAGGTCTTCAGACCTTAGTGAATTGTGACTTTGGATCATGGTGGCTACACAAAGTCAGAGGTGTACATTGTTGATGACTGTCATATATAATCAGATATTATCTTGCTGGAAAACTGCATTTCGCAATCGTCCACATATGGTTGTGTTTCAGATATGAACCAAAGCTGACTGCTTGAGCCATGATACCACATTGTTAAGCAATCAAAACAGGATTGGATCTGCCTGCATGTTTCCATCAGGTTATTCCGTAGCAACTGTTGTTGGTGAAAACAGAAATGAGACTCCTTCCTATATGCTATTTTGTGCCATTCAGTCATCTGAGAGGTTCCTGTCCCTGCACCATTGCAAGTATCATCAGTGGTTTTATATCTTTGACAGTTTTCACAAAGAATGCTGTGACTGTAAGCTACTTTCAACCAATCATACTGATATCGCAATATCTCCAGCTTCCTGCACATTCTGCATAATGTCAGCACTTCTGTTTTGCAAGGCAGCTACTGCATGTCTTCTTCAGATGTGTAAATTTAAGCGTGTGGGCATCTATTTACATGTTTCAATACTTCTGGAATAATTCATATTTCCTTCCTTAATCCATTCTTCTCCAGATTTTTTGCATGATAGATGCATGCACGTGTGTTTCAAATACTATATTACAGAAAAGCTAAGCAGCTGTTTGTAAGCCTAAAGTGAAACCTCTCATGAAAATATCTGATTGCTGAAATTGACTTCAGCCATATTTAAAAGATATGTCTTCAGGTACACCTGTCCTCTGCAATGAAAAATAGCATGAAAAACAGATCTCATGTGCCTCTTTGCTCTGTGTATAATTTAAAGAAATATTAAATCCATGAAATCGTATTACTCAGGCTTAAGTAATGAAACACCAGTGATAATTTATGAAAAATATATGACAAGAAACAAATTAATAAACTTATCAAAAAGCATAAAAAGTATACAGAAATTTTATTATCATTGTTAGAAATTTCACTGCCATTGTTAAAGGCAAAAATAATGGGCATATATGAGTAATGAATTTTATTGGCAGAAAGAATATCCCCAAGGATGGGCAGAAGAACAATAATTTGAACTGAAAACTTGTTTTATTATTATTATTATTGCTGCTTTTTAAAGAGGTGAATGTAGTTTGTTATAAATTAACTTAAAGCATTTGTTTAATCAACAGATTTCTTATTCCACCCCCGTTTTTTATATTGCAGAAGAAATCTACAGATAAACGTGGTAGGTGCCAATGAAGACATATATGTTCCTTCATCTTTTCCTACTGAATCCCAGGATGATTCTACATGCAAATAGCTTGTAGATAGAAAGCACATCATTCCAGTTTTTGACTTCAGTTGTGAATAGTTGTGAGGTCGTAATATGCTCCAAGGAAATGTAGGACATGAATACAAATTTGTATCATTTTCTTGGATGAGTCCATAAGTGATTTCTTATCACAATGTACTTTTTTTACATGTATATATTCAAAATTAACAAATTTTTCAGCTGAGTAACATATATTCAGCATGCGAACTATATTTGTGTAATGTCATGAAACTTTGTTCAAAATGGTTAGAAGAGTGCGAGTCATGCAGTCACATTTATATGGGCTTTGTAAAGAGCATAACCATTGGCATAGTGGTGCAAACCTGTATTATATGAACTATACCAGATGAATTATTGCATTAAATGAAAATGCTATAAAAATTGTAAATGCATGCTTCATGAAATTCATGCCATTAAAAATTGGGATATTTATTAAAACTGACATGCTTGGTTTCTAATGATGACAGACCGTATACTATGGACCTTTTTATTTCATTGCATATATTTATATAGACATACATGTATCTATACATAATTTATATGTACACATCTTGTGTACTGTTGTATATTCTTTTTTTTTTTTTTTTTTTTAACTGGGTTTTTGTAGTTTGGGTGCTATCACTTAAAAATTTGTGCATTTTAGTGTAAGTAGTGCTCTAGCATGTGCAAGCAAAAACTGTTTCGACATGGAAAGAAAGAGTTATCATTTTACGACAGCTAAGTCATTGTGTTATGAATTCATGCATTTTTATATTTATGCATCATGTTAAAATTAATATGAAAAAATAACCCCTTTGAAGTATATTTTAAAATTATTATAATTTTTTCTGAAAATTTATATTCTATTTGTACAGTGTTTTTTTTGGGGGGGGTATTGTTTTTTAAAATTTTATGAATATTTTCTTGTTCTTGTTTTACATGGATTCTTTATGTTTTACATGGATTTTTACATGGATGTTTTACATGGAAAATGTATACCATAGCTTGTTTTATATTTTTTAATTAATATCAATAAAAAGAAAAGCTATTAGTAGTATAAATACTGACTTAATATATATCATACTGACTTAATATATATCTAATACTGATAAATATATATCATTTGAACTTACAACAACTGTGTTTGCAGTCATCCAAATGTTTTATTGCATTGCATTCAAATTGAACAACAATATTTTTATATATACTTGGAATGTTTGAAAAACTTTTACGGAATTACTGTATTTAAATATCTGTATTAGAAATGTAACAGAATGCAAATATATATTATATGTATATAAAGAAATAAAGCATTGCTTTTCCAGCACTAACCAGGAAACAAAAGATTACCATATGTTATTGTAATGTATGCAAGAATTAATAGCATGCTGAAGAAATAATCATGGAATAAGAATGCATTTTGTTGTATCTCGCAAAATTTTAAATGTTACCAGATATTTTCATTCCTTCAGTCATCATGTAATTAGTTACCTTTTAAGTTAATTATTTATACAATATTTAGTTTTGATTATGGTATTTGAATTTCAGTTAAATATTGTACAGAAAGCAGCTTGTAAAAATAATGTAGAATATCTCTTGTGTATTCATATTTTTTTAAGCTAAGGGATCTCTTTATTATTAATTTTATTAATGTTAATTTTCTTTTATATTTATCCTTTGAAACTGTGGTTAAAATTTGCTTGTTAATTGTTTACCTGCCATTTTCCCAACTGTGAGGACATAAAAAAGTATATAAATTTCTGAAGACTACAGACTTACCAGGGTAATAACCAATAAGTACAATGAATCCAAAATAACTGGAAAAAAAAAAAAAAAAAAAAGGGAGAAGGAATAACTTGTTATAATTAATGGAATATTTTTGAGCAGTTTAATTTCGAAAATAAATTCATTTTGCTTTGTAAATTAGCATTCAAAACAAGAACATGCTTTATGCAAAGAACAGAATTTTTGTTTATATGACGTATGTATTTCAATAAGTGTCACTGGGAAGCAAAAGTTTAATAGCTGCTTGCTAAACATTGGATTTAGCAGCTTATTTATAACAGATGATTTAATAATATTTATATATTTCAAATTAGGTGCTGTAGAGGGTAAAAAGAATTCCTATGTATGGTGGGGGGGGATCATTTGCTATCTCTGCTGTTTTCCCATGCATTTTCTATTCATTTTTGTATTTCATATAAAAATTTTCCTTTATTCTGATGGTTTGTGCTTGTGATTTTTTCCTCATTCTGCAATAGACAAATATAATTTTTTTTTTTTTTTTTTTTTTTTTTTTTTAAGACAAGACTTGGCTTATCGAAAGCTGACTGCATTTGATTTTTTGATTTTGCCTTAACTCCTTTATTTTTTTTAATGCATCTTTTACTAAGTGGTACTGAATTTTCAAATTATTTGTTTTGCTGAAAAAATATATTGTTTATCATAAATAGATATTTTGGGTCATTTCTGATTTCTTTGAAATTTTTGTATATGGAAGCCGTAGAAAACATCGAATGAATTCAATAATAAAATAAAATTACTTAGTTATTATCGAACAGTATTCTGGAATTAGATTTATCATGTGCAATGCAAATTCATTAGGGAAAGTATATCTGAGAATTAAGTGGAGTTTATGTCAAAAGATATAGAAAGTTTTCCATTAAGATAATTATATTTATCTTCTAAAGTAGATGCTAATAGAATAAAAATATTTATAAAATTAAGTATGATGTGCTCTGTCTTAATTAAATAATCAGTCCCTCCCAAAAGATATGACTAAAACTCTTAAATTTATTAGAATTTGGCAGGTTTAAACAATTAAATAATAGTTGTGCATTTTTTCATTTGCTTTTGATATGAGGGTTTTTTTTTTAAATAAAACTGGAAGCTTTTTATGGGATTTAAATGCCTGGCAATGAATTAAAATCCATTTATAACCATCATTCTGTACAAATGAAGGTATGATACATTTGTCATCTATATATTAATGGGCAAGGTAATTTGATTTTCATGTGAAAATGAATTTGATATGTGCAAAATCAGTTTCTTTCAAATGCATATTGACATGAGTTATACAGATTCTGTTAAGAATTCTTATTAAACAAATTCTGTTAACAGAAAGGAAGTACATTTGCTTAAGATCTCTATGTTTAGAAATGTGTAGGAACAAGTGAAAATGCACAAGAACAATAATGGGAAAACAGGTGTTAGTAAGCAAATGTAGATGAACAGCAATGTGTAAATGTATTCAGAAATTGCTGATTGTGCTAATTTTTTCATACTTGTATTAATTTCAAATATTTTCATATAATTCTCATATAATGAGACCATGCATATATATATATATCGAGAGAGCAATCCTTCACTTAAGATGCTTAATTATCTCTGCAAAAAGGCCATGTTAAATGAAATTATGTTAGTCAAATATAAAATGTATGTAAAACATTGTTATTTATCCAGCTGTTTGTGGAAATGTTCACTTTATAAGCATTTTTATGTACAAAAGCAAGCAAGACGTTTTGAATTTTAACTGAAAGTGTTTTGTTTGAAGCTCTGTCCCTTGTATGGTTTCTCCAAAGAAATGGTTTTTGCATAAGTTGACCAATCAGATATTCTGAAAATAAAAATTCTGGAAAATGGTTCTTTTCATGTGCTGTTGAGGGTAGCTTATGATACCAGTTTTAGTCATTATTTTTTATAATCAGTTATTGAATTACTGTAGAACAATTGAGAGGCTTCCCTGTCTGTCTAAAAGAATTTGTATTTATATTACTTTGGAGGAACAATGGGAATATATTATAGCCAGTGAGAATTGAACCCAGAATGATGAATTAATAGTATTTTGTGGCTTTAACAGTTTGATTATTGGTGTGCATGTAAAATAATGATTTCATCTTTAGAAATACATCAATACTAGCAATAATTGTGTTGAAAACTGTTGAATAATTAAAGTTTTCAAAGCTGCCAATTCTCCCCCTCTCTCCAAAAATGATTGGGTTATCTAAATTAAACAGATTTTTAGATTCAGTCACTTATTGAATTAAATTAAAGTACCTTTAGGTGAACAAGATCAGAATGTAAGCTTGAGGAGAGTACATGGAAATTAGGTCTTCCACTGCACAATTTTATTTTATAAATCAGTATATGTAACATCAACTATTACAAAATTATATTAACATAACTTTTATAGTTTCCAATACATTTTCCAAGATCATTTACTTTAACCATTATCAGAAAAGTAATTTTTTTTTATCAAGTAGATGTTGTCTTATCTTTTTCAAAAAACATTGTAAATATTATTAATCTGGATCATTCTTTGAATTTGGAAAAGAAAGTGGTGTAGAAGAAACTTTTGGTTACGTAAAGATTGCAGATATTTTTCTTTTATGAATATGCATGCCTTGTTAGAATTAGATTGGTAAAATATATACTGTCTCAAATAATATGGAATAAACAGGTGTTCTAAAACACTTGTAAGAAATGTTTGAGTTATGTAAAAATCAATTGAGTTGAATTACTTCCTAAATAAGACATGACAATTCATAATCCATTGAGAGTTGTTTTGTACTCTTCAAATACAAAATTATGAAAAAGTGCAAGAAACAAGACATGTAAAATGATTTTTACAGACTGAATTCTGTCAGCTTTCATTTTAGAAGCATATTGATGTAGAAATTTTTATAGAATAATGCTTTCAGAAACTGACTAAGTGGTAATGTTTTCAAGCATGACAAAAGTTTGATTTAAATCTTCAACAGCAGTAGTATGCTACTATTGCAAATAATAAGCCAATTGCCCCTTTTTTGGGGGGAATAGATGTGTTTCTATTGTAACTTTATTTCTTGGTGTAATTTTTTACAAGCTGATATTAACAATTTTTCATTGTGTTCTGTACATTATTGAGTTCCTTTTTTACGTCTCTCTGTTTAATTTTTTTCTCACAATTCTTAATATCAAAATCGTATCAATACGAAATTCATACATAATAAAACACTGGTTGTAAAAAGTCTATAAATGAATGTGAAACTTTTGTAGTAACGTAAATGAATAAATACTTTATAAAATAAAATATACTTATGAATTTGATTGTTTATAAGGTAATTTAAAGTTCTTTTTAATTCATGTTATTTCTTTATCATAAACTTCAACATTTTTTCACCTGTTATTTGTTTACACATTTATGTAAAATATGTATATACGCATTTTTTATTATTTTATGAATTTATTGATAAATACCAATTTTTGTGGTTTGAAAAATCTGTAGTTTAATTTTTCAGATTTAATTTCCATGGTTGCTTCACAAATTCAGTGATTAAAAAGAAATAAATGTACTTCTTAATAATTTACATTTTTAAACTCATTAATAATTTACCTAAGATGTTATTAACAAATGTTTATGTATTATATATCTCAGTAGCAGAATAACTATTTGTGTACTGCTGAGTTTTTTTAATGATTTTATTATTTTTTCTGTTTTAGATTATATATTGTAAAAGTGTTAAAATTTATGTTTCTAACTTTGAAGACTCAAGCAAATGGGCTAAGTTATGTGTAATGTGATTACAAGACAGTTTCCCTTTGAAAGTCATGCATAAAAGCATCCCTTTCCTTGGGTAGATATCAGTCATGTGCTTTATCATAATCAAATAACCTTGAAGAGGCAAATGGCTTTTCAAACTTAAAATATTTTCTACATGTTTTGTGGTGCAAAACTGATGGGAACTTTTATTCACAGAATAAGTTGATGAATTTACCTTCATGAATGAATTCAACTACTAATATTTTTCAATTCCTTATTGCAACTCTGGGGAAATAAATGTTCATCCACACTTGTTTCAGGACATATATATATATATATAGGAACAGGATACAATATATAGGGAATTTATAGGAATGCAAATAGCTTCATTTATATCAGAGTAGGGAAAGTTTAAAGTGAAAACAAAGCTACCTGCTAATTAGTAATGTACAGTAAATTACAGTAATATAGGATCTGAACATAATGAATAATATTTTTTTATTTATTTTCTCTCTCTTTTTTTTCCCCCTAAAAATGTATGTTAACAATTCTAAGATCACTTTCACACACAATACACAAATTTACTGCAGTACACGCATCTGAACTGCTGTTTTAAAGTTACATTCTGTTAAGCACATTTTGTGTAGATATTAAAAATAACACTAAAAAGTTCACCAGACATGCTAAGGGTGTGGATTCACCCAGAATTTCATAGAACTAATGTAAAGGATATTATAGCCTTAGAGGATGCTGCTACTTGGTGACAATGGATATGATTTAAACATGGGTAAAAAAATCACCTGGAGTAAAGGGATATTTTTAATCTAATTTTTACTTTTTAAGTTTCCACAAATACACACAAAAAAAAAGGCTCAGAAGCAGCTTATAAGCAAATATTGCAAAAGGAATAATTTGTTTTCTTCCAGGAATAATTTATTTGTTCTTTCTTCGGATGCTTTCAGTAGCAGTGGTGATATATAGTAAATGGACCAACAGAGCTGAAGCATACCAATTGCTAAACATGTTTATGCAATCATAGCATTGAAAAAGCATTTAATTATATACTTATATATTTTGCCTAGAAATCAAATTTATTTATCTCTTGAAAGTTCTACACAGAAACCTTTTTGATATCTTTTGTGTTAAATGAAATGAAAAAATAGAGCTAATTGGTTTTCAATGTAACATTTATGTATATTAAATTTTCAAAGTACCTGCAGCGAGTTAATTGATTGCGACCTGCAGCGAGTTAATTTAGGTAACAAAGTACCTGCAGCAAGTTAATTTAGGTAACATTTGTTTGAAAACAAAACTTTTGGATGAAATTAAAAATTATCTTTTTTATTTCCTTATATGAAGTAAAGAAAGTACCGTAATCGCGAAAAACTTCGGTTTTCACATTTCAGTGGAAATATCCATTTTGATTGTTCCCGAATCCACATGGATCCCACCAGCGGCCGAGCGGTAAAGTCGCTGAACACTGGTAGTTCGGTCCAAGGTTCGAATTCCACTAACGGCTTCGCTGCATGGGTTTCCGTCGTTTTCCCCATGTGTTACGTGTATGCAAGCCAGTTTTCCTTAGAAAGACCTCCACGAAGGCATCCCTTTCTCTAGGAAGATAACCCTCGAGACTTTGCCGTAAACACATAAACCAAATCGAAAACACTTGTTTTTTTGGGGGGGGCATGACGTCTGTACATACAAGAATAAAGGACTCTCTTTTCCAAAAAGGATTGTAAAATGGATTTTTTCTCGACATTTGTATGTTCCCATGTGCGTACATATATATGCACATATATATATATATATATATATATGCATTGCATAACTCAAAAACGATTAGGCATAGAGCGTTGAAATTTTGCACACAGGGCTGCTATGATATCTATTTGTGAACTTCTCTTTTTTATTGTAATTGGCAATTATATACATTCATATATATCAACTCCTTTGCCCGGCCTTTATTTTCACAATCATTGGTCTTAAGTCATATCTTTCCATTACACGCGTGTTTTAAATGACGAAAAAATGTTTTAGCTGTGTCAAATTTAAAAAACATAATTTTTGACAAACAACGAATTTGAATTTTTCATTCGGCATCCCAGTTGGAAAAGTTTTGTGCTCGTTATGAAAAAATAAATTAGAAGACGTTTGACTCCTGTAAGACAAAAGCTGACCGGGATATTTAATTCAAAATTTACAATTTTTTATGTCATTTTCAACCTGCCTTGAAGGATCGGGTAATTAAGTTAAAATTATTCGAGGAAACAACTTTAAATGAAATGCAGCAAAGAGTGTGTATGATTTAATAGGCGATTATAAGGAAGTCATGTGTGTCCATGTGAGATTTTTAACTAAAATCATTTCATGGAAACCTCGATTTTGGAGGTGGGAGGGTTAGTACTGTAAATTTATTGGGGAAGGGGGCTCAAAAATTTTTTTTGCATAGGTGCCCTAGAGTTCTAGTTCCGCCACTCCATATACATCATCGACATCAAGCTGAAATAACGAATCAACAACATCCCTTTCCAAGGGAAATAATTTTCTTGCCATGGGCTTTATTTGGCAAAATTCTATGTTCTACACTATAGTTCTAACATGTTTATCAAAAACAAATGCATTTTACTTTTTGATCATAATGCAAAGCAGGAAAAAAAAAATCAGTATTAAAGGATATCACCGGTGTCCTTGGACGGGAATGCGTAAATATTGTTAATTTTTTTTGGTTCATTTACATCATATAATAGTTTATATTCATGGCCTAAAATTTTAAAATGATAGATATTCATTTTTAAATCCTATAGTGTAGAACTTCGCTTTTTTCAAATTTCTTAAAACTTAATTTTTTTTTCTTTTTTTTTTTAATATTAAAGCTTCTGCTCCTTTTTAAGCAAAAAAGTAAACATCTAAAAATAATGCAAAATGTAGGCACATACTCTTTGCTCTCTTCCTATGTTTAAGAACAAAGGCATGTCGACGAATATAACCGAGGCATTTTACTAAATAGCAGGAATCACTATAGGAGGTCCAATTAGCCCTTTAAGGATAAACTATGAGGGATCCGACCAATCTGATCATGAGAAAGTGAAAAGTAACGGATCAGATCTAATGTCTTCGAAAGTTTTTATGTTTTTCCTAGAAAGTTTGTGTAACTAGAAATAATGCTTTAGCTTGTTTTGAGTTTATAGAAATCGCTTAATATGGGATCCTGAAAGAAAGAAAGCATAAATTAGAAATAAGTGTAAAAAAAATTGAGTTTCTTTTTCTCCAAAAACATATACATTTTTTAACAGTGAACTCTACCAGAAGCATTTCTGTTGTGGAAACATTTTTCAAAATTCTCAAAGATATACACGAATTTACATATTTTCGCGTATTGAAATTTGGCATCTTTTTTTTTTTTTTTTTTTTTTTTTTTTTTTTAGTGATAATAACGCTAAATGTGGTTTATGGATTTTTGTTAGTGGATTGCCACAGCTATTTTTAACCCTAAATTTCAAATAAATATTTATTAATACTATATAAAAAGCTATTTTTTAAATTATGGATGATATTATTCAAATTTTTAACTTTTTTTAATTTAATTTTTCTTCCTTTAAAAAAAAAAAAAAAAAACTACTTTACTTTAACTGCATTTAAATTGAATTGTCTAAAACTGAGAAATTTCGTTTGATGTTTTATTTTCACAATGTTTTTAAACAAACGACGTTGATAGTTTGGGACATGTCCCAGCTTTAAAAATTATATATATAAATATAAATTTTTACATTAAATCTTCTTCGAAAGAATGTTTTAAGTAACTAAGTTTCTCTCATGGTATAGATTGTATAAAAAACAATCTTAATATGATTTAGATTGTTTGTAGCCGATATAATAATCGGGTTACTCGGGGGGGGGGTACAGAATAAACATTGTTGGATTTTATTTCTTTGTCATTTAGCAACAAAATATTTTTCCTTTGGACTTTGCTTTAAACTTTATTTATAGTTAAAATGCTTAGAAATTGAAAAGCTGTCTTCAACTGAAACGCAGTAAATGTAATTGAAATTTGGAAGAAGAAAAAAAATGACTACAATGCAAAATTTATGGAAGTGTAACAATCGAAAAATCTTAATTTTCATGTAATGAGCACTGAAAATAAATGTAGAAGGAAAGAACAAAATTAGGGAGAAATGTAAGCAAAAATTTGAAGGGGAATTTGGCTGTCAGAAATATAAAGGTGTTTCAAAATGTTGGATGCTTTTCAATACACTTTCAGAATACTTCAAGGAATTTGGGTGTTCAAAGAGAAAACACTTGGACGTGTACAGCAGCAAATACCATCAACTGAGCTTGTGCTAATGGAAAAGACAAAAACGATATCATTGCAGATAAAAGTGAAGAGCGACTGGTTTTCAACTATATGTTTGTATAATTTAAATTACGTTGTAGAACATCATATCGTCATAAACGGAGAATCCCATGATTTCGTAGTCAAATTATTTGAATATTCAGGAATTTATCCAGTGATGTATGTGAATGTGAAATCACCCTATATGCAGTCAGGTCGTAAATTTACCATCCCTTTTTTCAGGGGGAGAGTGGGGGGCCG